GATTTGGTCATTTCACCTTTTCTTCCTTTTTATTTTATTTTATTTTTTTGAAAATAGGTAATGGGCATTTCATTACCTATTTTCAAAAAAAAAAAAGGTTATGGGCATTTCACCTTTTCAATCATTTATAAAACAGGAAGGTTTGACAAGCAACCGACAAAAGAAATACTAGTACTAATTCCAATGAGGAAGGTTAACTTGTCAATGTGCATAATCCGGCAGCAACATATATCATACTACTTCAAAGTCATATATCTCATCTAAAAAATTTTGAACAGAGAATAAATATATTTTGATTGATTCTATAAAATAAAATAAAATTTTTAAAAGAATTTGTAAGACATTTAGAATTTCAAAATTGGAATAATTCACATAATATATATATAAATAATGAAAGAGAAATTCTTGACCAACATTTCTAGTTTGTATAAACCCATCAACTTTAAATAAACTTATGTTCTAATTTTAATCAAAGCATGAAATATCGTTGTTCTCTAGAGACTATCTCATGACTTTTTTGATCGATAGAGAGGTGAGATAGGAAAATATGTACCAGTATCGATTTAGTTATCTAGAAATTGTGAATTCATCTACAACTGTATAATCATGTTTAAAATTAAAAATATTTTTTAACTTCTTTTTAATAAAAAATTATTATACAATTTAAATCATAAAATAACACACTTATTTCTTTTAATTAGAGAATATCTCTATTAAAAAGACGAGAATTAGACTTCTCTGCCTCTTGCTTTTTTTTTTTTCCTTTTTTTTTTTAAAGGCAGTCAATTTTGACAACGAGCAAATCCACAGAAGACCCATGCCTCAATTAGATCCCTAGCCCCCTCCATATTCAGAAGGGAAGGGCTATTCATTTTTGTTTCTGCCCGACAACCTGTCAGGGTCATCATCTCTTCTCTAGTAGTACTCCACCTCTTCCTAATTAATTATGTATTTAGTTGAGCATTGAAATTTTGCAACCTTTTTTTTCCTCTTCCCCTCATGATTGAGCACTTTGTTAGGTCATGGAGCAACCAAGGAATTAAAGGAAGCCGTTTTACCATTCAAGAAACCCACAAAGTTAACTTAAAACGGTGCCTAATTTACCAACCTTTTGATCCAACAAATATATTAAAGAAATTAAATTTATATGTTACATAAATTTGAAATCAAGTGTCTGACACAAGAGTAATTTAGAAAATTTTTTTAAGGGTCTAAGCATTGTCAAGTACATATAAAGATTTCAAATTTGAAGTGTTCAAAAAATGTCAAATACGGATTTATTAAAGTGAAAATGTTAGATGAAGAACTCCTATATCATATGTATAGTCTCCTTTTATTAGTCTATTTAGCTATTTACTTTTCTGCTTCTCACTGTTGGGGTTTGGGACCCTTAAAAAAGGGAGAGAAGGCAATATCTTTTATGAATGCAAAAGTTATTCCCCTCCAATACAAGAGAACGTGCACAAGGGACCCAGGACAGTGGGATATCCTTTGTATTTTAACTCCTTTTGAGAATGGCATTTATATTTCCAACTTGTTTCCCATGAGATCAAAAAATATATATATAATCAAGAGGGAGCGGAGATCCGGAGAGGTGGGTTTTAATTTCAGTGAGTAGATGCATTAATTGATATCACCAAAGTAAAAGAATCCCCTAACTTTTGTGGGGTTAAGTCTCTTTTTTTTTTTTTCTTTTATAGCCCTAAATTTGCTGCACTTTCTGGTGCAAGTCAACATTAAAAGTAGAAGCAGCCCTTTTTTAAGAGAACATCCCCCTAACACTGTCCCTAAACCTTTTTCTAATTGGGGACGTAAAATTTGGAATTTAATTTCAATTTTGGATAGAAGCAGTTCGATTTCAAAGGTGTGGTGGTCTAAATAATTTTCATCCTCCATCACTAAAAAGAAATTAAATAATTTTATTTTAATTTCAATTGTTGATGATTATATCGTAGAATATTAATTTATTCATGAATTAAATGAATTTTTCTCTACTCTATCTATTTATTTTTAATAGTCTTAATTTAATTTTTTTAATTTTTCAAACATAAATTTGAATGAAAATTTAATAATTTAGATAAATAAAAATTAGAAAATTTTTTCTATATGGAGTTCTTGTTAAGTATTTTCATTTGATTAAAAAAATTTCCAATTATCATTTATAGAATATATTAAATTTTTATTTGAAATTTATATTAAAAAAATAAAAAAATAAAACTAAAATTACTAAAAATAAAAAAAAAGTATAATATTATCCAAGGTTAAAAACTATAACAACTCTAGTAGTACTAAGTTGTTCTTCATGACCTCAAAACTATGACATTTCATAAATTAAAAGACAATGATATATATCCAAGATGATTGGTCAAGACTCTCTTTTATTTATCTGGTTGCATTAAAGGTTAGCATATCTTTGGTTAAGGTCATGGGTGTCGTCTGTGGGGACTCATTACCACTCAGAATTTTCAAGTTTTTGTGTTTGTTACAAGGATTTGACACAAACGATGCTTCCTTCTCCCTGCAATTATCTGTATTTTTATTCTTGTTTACTGTATGCCATTATTGATATTCAGGATCAGTATATTACACGTATAAGATTAAGTCAACCTTTTTAATCTATTTAAAGCTAAATTATTCATGGTAAGATTAAAAAATAAATTAATAAAGAATAACTATTTCATAACTGTATTCACTACATCAACCCCTTTTGAGATCTCTTTTTTTTTTTTTTTGGTCAGCCAAGAAAAAATTTTATTAAAAAAGTATAAGGGGTACTCCCACCCATTACATTATAAACAAATCATATGTGTGCAAACATCCCTCACAAGTAAATCAAACAAATTCCAAACATGCAATTGCAAAATTAAAGGGACACAATATGCAAAGCTTACGTAAATATCCCAAAACCTTCATTTATGGAGCAGGATCATTTGTGTTGTTGCTTTTTTGCCGATTCACATGGTTGTATAAGGGAAGCATACCAATGATCCATCGATAATTTAGGCACTAAGGTAACTTTAAGCCACTGGAAGGTTTGATGTTTGATTAGTTCCACAATCTTCCCTTTGAGTTCTGAACTTTTCTTAAATGTCACCTCATTTCTCAATAGCCACACAAACCATAATGTTGCAAACTAGACCATCGTCCAGGCTTCCTTTAAATGTCGATTAGTGAAGAGGCCTGAGTGTTGTTCCAAATTTTGCCAGCCTTTTTCATGCGATACAGTAGTAATACCCCACCATTTGAAGCAAGATGTCTAGACATTCCAAGCTATGGAGCAAGAGAAAAGGATGTGGTTCAAGTTTTCAACCCCCAATCCACATAGGGCACATGACAAGTTATCGGAATTCAACAAAATCCTTCTTTTCAGTAAGTTCTCCTTTGTTGGGATTTTATTTTGTACTGCTTTCCATGCAAAAGCTGACATCTTCAGTGGCACCCTTCTCTTCCAAATCATTCCAAAGTCTCTAGGTTGCTCCAAACTAGTACTGGGCATTAGTAAGTCATAAGTTGAGCTAACGGAATACCTTCCTTTTGGGTCTTGCTTCCAAACCCATCTATCTTCAATGCCTTGAAATAGGTGTTGCCTTTGGATTGTAGTCTGTAGCTCTTGCAGAGAATCATATTCCCAAGCAAACAAATTTCTTCTCCAACTCCACTTCCAAATCCCTAACCCATCTTTCTAGTCACCAATTTCAGAAACTAACGCTCCTTTATTTGTTGCTAGACTAAACAACCTATTAAAACTAATCTTCAATGGAACACTCCCCCACCCATTTGTCATGCCAAAAAAGTGTGTTTGAACCCTCCCTTGCCACTATTTCAATATTCTCCTGAAACCATCCTATTTTACTCATAGGCGAAGAATCAATTTTGCACAAACCTTTCCACCAACTAGAACTACTAACATCCCAAAAATCCCCTTCCTATAACTTAGTTCTATCTATCCTATATTTAGCCTTTATGACCTTTATCCATAAAAGTTTTTTATCCTCTAAGAGCCTCCATCTCCATTTACCAAGTAAAGCCTGATTGAAACAACCTAGATTCTTCACTCCAAGCCCACCTGCCAACCTACTCCTACAAATCTTGTCCCAACCAACCCAAGCAATTCTATTCTTTTCTTCACTACCCCCCCCACACAGGAATCTCCTTTGGATTAAAGATAGTAAATTAATTACCTTTTTGGGTGCTTTGAGGGCTGAGAAGTAGTAAACAGGGAGATTTGAAAGGACAGAATTTAGGAGAACTATTCGCCCACCAAAGGACAGGGAATCACAACGCCAGGAGGCAAGCTTCCTTCTAAAACAATCAATTACAGGGGCCCAAGTGGCAATTTTCTTTGGATTAGCCCCAACAGGAATGCCGAGGTAAATAAAAGGTATGCTTCCCACCAAGCAATTAAGCGTATCAGCCATTCCGTTCAACTTTGACTCTTTAATATGGATTCCAGCAGGGAAGCTTTTGAAGAAATTCACCTTCAAACTTGAAACAAGCTCAAAACTCCTGAAGATGCACTTGATGGCCCATATGTTTTCACTTGATGACTCACAAAACAGAATAGTGTCATCAACAAACTGTAAATGTGTACTCTCCATACCCCTTGAACCCATTGTCACACCTTTAAATAGTCCTTCTTCTATCACTTTACCAATTAACACATTTAAAGCCTCTGCCACAACAACGAATAAGAAGGGGGCTAACGGATCACCTTGGCGTAATCCTTTTGACATTTGGAACTCCTCAGTAGGCTCCCATTCACCAGAACCAAGACTGAAGCAGAGGATAAGCATCCTTTGATCCAAGAACACCACTTTGGGTAGAATCCCATTTTCCTCAACATGGAATCGAGGAAGTTCCAATTAACACTATCATATGCTTCTTCAAAATCCACCTTAAAAATGGCTACGGATTTTCTTCTCTTCCTTGCATCATGAATTAATTCATTAGTGATAATAATTCCATCAACAATTTGCCTTCCTTTGATGAAAGTAGATTGGGTTGGGTTGATAAGTGAATCCATCACCTTATTCATCCTGTTAACAAGCAGCTTTGATATGACCTTATACATGCATCCAATGAGGGAGATTGGTCAATAGTCTGCTAAACTTGCTGGGTTATACTTCTTGGGAATTAAGACTATGAAAGTTGCATTACTACCTCTCATCCATTTCCTGTTAGTATGGAATTCTACTACAAATTCACAAATCTCCTTTAATATGGGCCACATTCTTTTTATGAAATTGAAATTTAGGCCGTTGGGGCCTGAGCTCTTGTTTCCACCACATCCCTAGACTGCTTCCTTGATTTCATCTTCCAAGAAGGTTGCAACTAACATGTCATTCTCGTCTTGACTAATTTTTCTGAAATTGTTTAGTTCCAAGTGAGGCCTACTCCATTGTTCCTCCTTAAACTTGTTACTAAAAAATTCCTTAATATAATTTTTAATTGTGTTAACATCTTCTGCCCATTCTCCGTTAATGTGCATGCCTTCAATCCCATTTTGCTTCCTTCTTTTCACCACACACCCATGAAGATAACTACTATTGGCATCCCTTCCTTGAGCCATTTTTGCCTTGATTTTTGATAAAGCAAGTTGTCCTTAGCCTTGTTCCACTCCCAAAGCCTGAGAAAACAATCCTTTCTTTGCTCCACTTCTAGCTCTGTTAATGTGCGTGCCTCTCCTTTTATGTCCAGCCTTTTGATTTCCTCTCTTGCTCCATCTATATTTTGCTCAATACTTCCAAACACATCATTGTTCCATTTCTTTAGGTCCCTCTTTAAGCACTTCAATTTTTCCTTAAGTTTATAACAACACCAACCTTCCACCTCGTATCTGTTCCACTTTTCCTAAACAAATGCACTAAAACCTTTTTGATTAAGCCAACTATCTATACATCTGAATGGCTTGGGACCCCAATCTTTACATGATTGTTTGAGCGTGACAGGACAATGATCGAATATGTCTCTTTTCAGGCCCTGTTGGATTATGTTTGGGAAATTATGGAGAAATTCTGGGGATAGCAGGAACCTATCTAACTGACTCATCGTAGAACCATCTGCCTTATGCTAGGTGAATTTTCTACCAAACATGGGGAGATCTTCTAGACTTGCTTGTTTAATGAAATTGTTAAACTCCTTGGCTTTTACGGCCTCGTAGCTTTTACCTCTCTTTTCCTCAATGTCTCTGATAGCATTAAAATCACCCCCAACACACCAATTGCCCCTGCCATATTTTTCCATTAAACACAAAATTTCTTGCCACAGCGTACGCCTCCCCTGTTTCTCACAAGGAGAATAAACATTCATAAAAAGACAAGGAATACGATCCTTTCCCCAAAAGCCTGACATTCCACAGAATCCATTTCCTAGTATCTTTTTATCAACCACAAAAACACTAGGATTCCAAATGCAAAGAATACCCCCTGATTTTCCTTGTGTCGGATTCATTGTCGAATCACAATTATCCATACCCCAAATTTCTCTACAAAGTCTAATGTCACATACCTCCATTTTAGATTCTTGAATGAACAACATATCTACCTTCTCTTTCCTAATTAACTCCTTCAAAGCCCTCTTTTTACTGCTACTTCCCAAACCTCTAATATTGATTGAGATGATCTTCATGGGTGGCTAGATTCTTCTCCCCCTATCTCCGTTAAAGCCATCTTTTGCTTTGCCAAAGCGATTCTATGTCTTTTCTCCATATCACCTAGATGTTTGATGATTTGCTTTGCATTCCTTGCATCCACCAAGCCTAACCTCTTGCCATACGTCCATAATTCCTTGGCCACCTCGCTCCAATCCTGCTTTCTGTTCCTTGTTGAAGTCAAGCCAAGGCCTGAAGGTTGATTGTGCTCCTCAATTCCGCTAATCGATCGCATACCCAAAGTGAATCCCTTTCTAGATCTTGTTTGTTTTGCCTTGGGTACCATTTTCTTCTTTGCATGCTTTCCTTTCTTCCTCCGGACTTGAGCAATTCTCTCCACTCTCGCTTGCAATAGTTCATCATCGCTTTCTAGCCCTTCCCAAAAGGGTTGTGTGCTTCGCTCCTTAACTACTTCATTTCCCTCTTCGACACACACCTCTTTCCTCCCTCTTTTGCTTCCATTTTGTGGTTTTGCATTGCACTTGGTTGTCTCCCCCTCGGATTTGGCGTCCTTGTCTACAAGAACCTCTATCCATTTTTTTTGTGGGTTGTTGAATAGATGGGCATTTGCAGTCCCTTGACTTGCAAGGTCCAAACTTGACAAAAGCCCATTATTCTTATCACCTAGGTTGGTTTTTTGGCCCAAAAGGTCTGTAGGCCCAAACCCAGGGGGATAAGAGTCTTCATCCTCCAAATTTGAATTAGATTTCTTAGTAGGTGTGTCAGTCCCCAAATTTATAGCTGGTGCATTTTGAGTTGTGTTCGAGGCAAGC